CACATTCTCGGAACTTTATGAGAATTCTTAGAGGCCTAAATAGACAGAATTTGTGTGTGCTTTTGCAACATGTTTTAGGCACAACCAATATGGGGCCACTTTGAAGAAAATTTTTGACTTGGGTGTTTTGGAACATAAAGGAAATCTGGATTCGGGCCCCAACCCTATTTGAATTCTCACCGTGTGGTTAAAAATTCTGAGAAAAGGCTTTTGAACTCTATACCAAGTGCCATGAATAAGGGATAAATTGCCTTTTCACTATATTGTTTTGAAGCCTACACATATGTTTGTTTGTTTATTTATTATAGTTGTACACAATAACTTTACTTTATTTGTTTATTTATTTTTATGTGGTGCTGAGGATCGAACCCAGGGCCTTGCACATGCAAGGCGAGCTCTCTACTGCTGAGCCACAACCCCAGCCCCACAAATATGTTTCTTTTAACTATTCACTGAGCATACAATTCTTGGCAAGGATTCATGAATAAATGTTTGGATTTCTGATCTTCTGAATTTATGTGGCTCTGAAACTTACTGTCCTGTCTCCCAGTGGCCATTAAAAAAAAAAAAAATGCTCTAGATTATCATGGACCAGCAAATGTTCTATAATAGCTACCAACTTTGACATTTGCTCTCCTCTTTAGATTTGTGCTCTGATCCCATTTTGACCTTTGAGTATTTCCTTTATTTTCTTGCCAAACAAAAGGTGTTTGTTTTAATGTTATCTGGTAGTTTTGAGAGGTTTATAAGAAAGATTTTTCAGATAGAAATCCTCTCTAAAATTATATTCCTCCACAGATCCTCATAGTTCTAAATTCTGTGAAAATTTTAACTTGATCTTCAGTGTTTTCATGTAATTTTTTTTGGTCTCTGTGTGTGAAGTACTGGTGATTAAATTCAACACATTGTACATGATGCTAGGGGTGCTCTACCACTGAGCTATATCCTTAGCCCCTTTTATGTTTGATTTTGAAATGGGTCTCACTAAGTTACCCAGGCTGGCCTTGAACTTTTGATCCTCCTGCCTTAGCCTCCCAAGTAGATGGAATTATAAGCATGTATCAATATACCTGGCTAAGTACATTCTTTCAATTCTTACAAGTTGGTGAGATGAGCATTATCATTGTCATTATGCCTATTTTAAAGATGAGGAAACCGAGGCACAGAAAAGGTAAATAATATGCCCAAGTCACCCAGTCAATAAGTGGCAGGTATTTGAATCTGAGAACTTTGACTTCAGAGTGCATGCCCTTAATCACTCCAGTCAGCCATCCATTCACTCTTCCATCTTATTTCCAACCAGAATGGGCAGGCAACCTTCACCCACTGGAACTGTTCGAAAACAATGTCATATGTACTCAATATGGATAGGTTTTAAGTGTCTAGATATTTAATATTTGCAGAAAGGGAGAACAATGGGAAAGTTCCTTGTCAGATTTGGACTTGAACTAAGTCTAAAGAAATAGATTTGACATAAGTAGGAAAAAAAAGGGAAAAGGAAAAGAATTTCAAAAGGGGATGAAGAGGGGAGATATAAGCCAAATGCCAGATGTAGACTTGAGCATGATAGTGAAAATCCTGTTCATGAAGCAGGTTTTTTTGTTTTTTGTTTTTTTTCCAAGAAGAGAAAGACATTGGGATTGTATCGGTGGGAAGGAACCTGAAAACCAGTGGGGAAGTTTAGATGTAACAGGTAAAAATTAGGTATAAAGAAGATACTTTTGTAACAGCATACTGTTACAAAGTAATGTTGTTCCTGTCCTAATCTGCAACCTTAAAAGCCAGAGACAATGGACTTTATTACTCACCACACAGCAAGCAGTATGAATGTCAGTTTCACATAAATTCCCCTTCCTCTCAGGTTCCATAGGGGTGATGCAGAGTGGACACCATGAGATGAACAACTTGGAAAAATCAAATCTTTTATTTCACTTGTTTATTTTTTATTTTTATTTTTTTGTATGTGGTGCTGCGGATCGAACCCAGGGTCTCGCATGTGCAAGGTGAGCGCTCTACCGCTGAGCCACAACCCCAGCCCCTCAAATCTTTTCTAATGGGCTGCAAACATACCTTCCTGGCCTTTGCCCTGGAGGAAGAGATCTTTTATTATACTAGACAACAAACAAACCTGTTCTTGGTCCTAGATGGAGACAGTTCAAAAGTCAAGTCCATCTGTGCTTCTGTTCATAAGATAGAAAGAAACATGAGAGCCTCATGAAAAATTGTCTTCTAACAGAAGTCATCTAAGAAATGGTAAACTGCATATGAGGTGGTGGGACATTTCAGGTAAGCCGCACATAGTAGAAATCTTAGTTGTTGTCAATCTTGTTCCATGTAATAGTCCCAGGTATAAATATTCAATCTCAGTAAATGCTACCTCAGCAAATATTTGCTGAATGCATTTAGTGCCAAACAAATTTTGAGTATTTATTATGTGTCAGGCCTCAAACTAATCACTTGTTAACTGTTAACTCTTTTATTCTTCATAACAATAGATATTTTCATTATTCCATTTACAGATGGTAAACTGAGGCATAGAAAATGTTCATTAACTTGCTCCAGGTCAGACTTTTAAGAAATAGTAGAGGGCTGGGGATGTGGCTTAAGCGGTAGCTCACTCGCCTGGCATGCGTGTGGCCCGGGTTCGATCCCCAGCACCACATACAAACAAAGATGTTGTGTCCGCCGAAAACTAAAAAATAAATATTAAAATTCTCTCTTTCTCTCTCTCTCTTAAAAAAAAAAAAGAAAAAAAGAAATAGTAGAGCTGGATTCAAACATCAACACACAATTCCAGAACCTGTGGTTTTTAAGTGATAGTGATAAATGGCCTTTCAAGGCCTGCCTGAGAGGTGGTGGCAATTATGGTAAGAAAAACAGATAAAGGTGCCTTTTAAAGGAATAGTTATTCTGGGCATAGTGGCTGAGAAAAGGGGTGAATTGTGACCTGAGTGAAAATAGTGGAGAAAGGTACTTCAAAGGTCAATATCTCCATAAAAACAACTAAAACTGTTTTTTTTAAAAAAAAAAAAAAAAAACTTGTCAGAATTTTTTCATAACCCTGGAAACCAGTTGAATGGTCACAGAAAAACAGTGGACACATACATATTCACAGAAACCTGCTGAATCCTGTAGAAGAGCAAGTTTATGGCATTTTATTTATTTATTTTTACACTTTAAATGTGGTAGCCATGAAAATAGGCTTTTATTTTATTTTATTGATTTTTAAAAATAATAAATGACAGTGGAATGAATTACAATTCTTATTACACATATACAGCACATTTTTTCATATCTCTGGTTGTATACAAAGTATGTTGACACCAATTCGTGTCTTCATACATGTACTCTGGATAATGATGTCCATCACATTCCACCATCCTTGCTAATCTCCTGCCCCCTCCCTTTCCCTCCCACCCCTCTGCCCTATCTAGAATTCATCTATTCCTCTCATGCTCCCCCTCCCTACCCCACTGTGAGTCAGCCTCCTTATATCAGAGAAAACATTCGGCATTTGTTTTTTTGGGATTGGCTAACTTCACTTAGCATTATCTTCTCCAACGCCATCCATTTACCTGTAAATGCTATGATTTTATTCTTTTATTGCTGAGTAAAATTCCATTGTGTATATATGCCACATTTTTTTAATCTATTCACCCACTGAGGGGCATGTAGATTGGTTCCACAGTTTAGCTATTGTGAATTGTGCTACTATAAACATTGATGTGGCTGTGTCCCTGTAGTATGCTGTTTTTAAGTCTTTTGGGTATAGACCGAGGAGAGGGATAGCTGGGTCAAATGGTGGGTCCATTTTCAGATTTCCAAGGAATCTCCATATTGCTTTCTAATTGGCTGCACCAATTTGCAGTCCCACCAGCAATGTATCAGGGTCCCTTTTCCCCCACATCCTCTCCAACACTTATTGTTGTTTGTGTTCATAATAGCTGCCATTCTGACAGAAGTGAGATGATATATTAGATTAGTTTTGATTTGCATTTCTCTAATTGCTAGAGATGATTAACATTGTTTCATATATTTGTTGATTAATTGTATATCTGCCACAGTCTGGCTGGGCACAAATGCCGCAGTCTGGCTGGGCACAC